CCAGGGTTCGAGCCCGGGTCTGGTCAAGTGGGATTTGTGGTGGACAAAGTGGCGCTGGGGCAGGTTTTCTCCGTGTACTTCGGTTTCCCCTGCCAGTCTTCATTCCACCAAATTCTCCATCATCATAATCACCCGGGGAAGGTACAATAGGCCAATCAATGGCCGACGTGCCGAGTGGACACAGCTGGACTCCACCCCCCACTATGCGAAAAAAAAAAGTGAGTGAGATATTAATGCAACAGGATGCTGAAATATAATATTCTTGTACAGTGTCCCGGGTTTCACGATTCCCGGCGTAATTAAAAATATATTGAGCGCCCTAATTATGACATACGTTGATTTCCTAACTTATTTTATTTCTACGCGTACTTCACCTTCATATAATTGCATACCTCCTCAGAATATTATTCTACAAAATTTCATGCCGTCAATTTAAGCTGTTGTTGCTCCTAATTCAGAAGTTCGCTTAATCACGTTGAGTGCTGGTAGTATGAAAGAAAGAAACGATTCTTTTTTTAGGTCGACAGCTGCATGCCCTACATACCTAGTTACTTGAAAACAGGGGAAATTGGTGAGACCTGATTAAACACTGAACGTTGGAAACCATGGCAACCGTTGGGCTGTCGGTCTACTCTGTGTCTTTCTGTGTAAATTAGGTAAAGAGAATCAGGCGTCCATTTAAAAAGAAGGAAAACAGTGGGGCAGAAAACGGTGAAGTTTGAAACTGTAATGGCGTCTTGAGGAAAATTAAATCCTTACGTGAGGTGTTACTCATGCGGAAGTATACAATTTAAGCTGGTAATGTATTAATTCTGTAAGTTGGCGCCTGTTTACTTGAGGCAGGACTGTCACAGTACTCAGAGCTACTCGCAGTCATGTTACAAATGCAGACAAACAGATAACCCTTAGAACATAGTAGCAATGATCTGAACCACATGCCTTAACCTTAAAGAAACTTTATATTTTTCCCAACCCATGTATACATGTGTTATGTATGATTCTCGTAATAAAGAGCTTATTGGGAAACTAATCACTGTTTATTTAAGAACCATACAAAACACACAAATGCACTGCGTGGTGGAAAGTGTATAATTGTACAAATTGTGCTTTGCAGTAGGGACGACAGTACACGAGACCTGCGGAACTCGCTTGCCGGTCAGTTGCCTCTGTAGGAGCAAATTGAAAGCAGTTCTGTGTCTCTGTCTGTCTGTCTCCGCTGGTGGAGGCCCTGTGAAGCCTTGCGCGTGCAGAACGTGAGAGGCCGTTTCTGTGAAGTCATTACTTGACCACTTACGATTCAATTGAGGCGTTTAGACGCTCGGAACGCTGTTTTTATAGCCCGCACTCCGTTCTATTCAGTTACGTGCCGTGGGTATACCGGCTGATACGGAGAAAAGTTCATGTGGAGCTGCGCCGCGACGCTATGAGGCTGTTGGGGGCCGTTAAAATTCAGGCATCTGCCTTATAAATGGCGGCAGGTGCTCTTGTTCCCCCTCGCGTTTATTGGAGCACTTTATTTTTTAACGGAAACAAAACTTTAGAGTTTCTTTTCAGTTCTGAGAGAAACTCATTATAAGCGAACGTCGCATTCAAATGGGTAACGCTCTGGCCTCTTACTCCGTAGATCCTAGGTTAAAATCTCAGCCCAGATACATGATACTCTGACGTTTTTCGTGGAATTCCTCAATACTCGAAAATAATACATGAAATTTGGCCCTTCCAACTCGTCGTTTGTCTCACCCTACCAGTTCGACATAATCCTGAGGTAATAACTTCGGCATTAGATACATGAATGAAAAGCGGCCTCCGTAGTCTAGAGGTAACGTTCCCACCTCATGACTCGTAGTACGCGGGTTCAAATACCCGGCGGAGGTCGTGGAATTTTTAAGGGCGGAAAAATTCAGGGAACAAGTCCTCCGGGAGGGACTTTAAGCCGTGGGTCCCGTGTCGTAGCTTTACGGCACGTAAAAGAACCTCATATCTCCAAAGGAGGTCACTGAGCCAAATTACGGACGTTTCCCGCCCAACAGCAGTCTCTAATACCTCTGGTAGATGGGGGAAGCATTATAGATACCTCTCAGCTAGTAGAGCCGGTCTCGCTGGCTGGACGGGACTGATGGTAAGCACCAGTACCGGTAGGATATAGAGACTGGTAGAAATCATAGAGGGAAGCACACTGGACCAATACAGGTCTCAGTGCATGGGGAAACCCACCCTCTCCAACAACTAACTAACAACATGAATGAAACGAAATGTGTTCTGTGCGTGCCATGTAAATGCATTTCAAGGATTCGCAGCAGTTGAGTGAGGTTTATGCATGGCGTGCAGAAGTTGGTAAGGTTTTCCGAAACCAGTGGTTGGTCACACGGGATGAAGTGTGACAGTGGCTCGGCCTCCTGGCTTCACACAGAACTAGGCAGCTTTCGCCTAGTGAAGGGCTTGTCTTCTTCAGACGTTCATAATGCACCCCTTATGGCTGTTGTTTTCCGTTCGGTTTACACATTTTTATTGCCGCGTTTTTGCTCGCACGCGAAGCCTTTTTGAGTTTTCATAGACAAACTACATATATAAACAGTCTCTGAGTTAGCTAATTCAAAACCAACTACAAATACCTGTAGAGTGTCTTACCCTAGAGCAGAACTGTGTAGACTCGGTTGATATCAAGAGCATGATTCTCGACACAGACCCACACTATGTATGTATGTTATTGCGAGTTGAGTGTCATGGCTGGGGTAACTTTTTAATGTTCCGTTAATATCAGTGCGTGTGTTTCCTTCGCGATCAACTGAACAGGAAAATAAAAATCTCATTTTACATTCACATTATGACGTCAACACTGTTGATGCATTAAAACTTAAACAAAAAACTCCGTGGTTTTAGTCCGCAAGCGAACCATATCGACCGAGCGACCGCCACTTGTCAGCGAAGTTAATGCCAACTTTTGCAGATTGAGGGTGTCGCGTGGTCAGCGCAACGAATCCCCACGGCTATTAATTTCGGTTTTCTAGACCGGAGCCGCTATTTCCTTGGATTAGCTCCTCAGTTTTCCTCACGACGCTGAGTAGACCCCGTTTCAGACCCACTACTTCTCAGAAAACTCTTTCAAAATTTAGCATGAGTTATAACATTAAATGAAACTGCATTTCCCCGACTCCAAGTGTTTGTGTGATTATCACAATAAACAGCGATAATTTATATGAACGTATTAAAAGGCTGTCCTTTGTAATGGAGAGAACGCCTCTGTGGTCTAGTGGTCAGAGTTCCTTGCTACAGATCCAGAGGTCCTGGATTCGATTCCTGGCGCTACCACTTTTTCTGAGAAGTAGTGGGTCTGGAACGGGGTCCACTCAGCCTCGTGAAGATAACATAGGAGCTACTGCAAGGAAATAGCGGCTCCGGTCTAGAAAACCAAGATTAACGGCCGTGGGGATTCGTTGCGCTGACCACGCGATACCCTCTTTCCGCCAAAGTTGGCACTGACTTCGCTGACAAGCGGCGGTCGCTCGGTCGATATGGTTTGCTTGCGGACTAAAACCACGGAGTTTGTTTGTTTCTTGTTTTTTTAGAAATGGAGACGAATTTTTTCTATGGAGTATGAACTGAATATTTACATTTCATTTAGACGAATTACCTCGTAAATATTGTAAATAATTCAGATGTCATAAACGTTCATAGTTAATAATAATGATGATAACTTCTTACAAAGACTGCACAGGTAAAAATTGGCAAGACTGGCCGTTTTTACCCTTCCCTCCTATGGGTTACCCAGAATTGTTCATTACTCATCCAAAGTATTCACATCAAATAAACACGTATAAGGCAAATTTGTTAGCTTTCAAATAAAGCGTGTTCGCGTACTTAATGCCGGACCGTTGGCTAGAGGTCACTTTCCTTCCGGAAGGTGCTGCGACCGGCCAACTCGATCAACTTTTACTGAGGTTTTCCTCGGCCCTAGAACAATTGCTAAGTCGAAGACTGCCGTCTTCTGGTATGTGGTGCCCTTAGATATAGTATAAACCGACATTTCGGAGGAATTTATCGCCTCCATGTTCAGGGTAGAAGAAAAGAGAAAGAAAGAAAGAAAGAATCCGCGAGCGAGGAACCAGCGTGAGCAGGTGGCTTCAGACGTCAGTTTATACTATATCTACACGACGGCAAATCCCAGAAAACGGCTTACTTCATGCTCACCACTGCGAAAACCTCAAATAATACAAATGCTAAGTCTGTAACGGAATTCCACTTCACACTGTATGCTTCGCATTCAGCCCTCCCTGTGTTTATATCAAAATTCCGATATAACGCCGTAAAGACTCTGTTAAGTTAATTTCCCCTGCTGCATAACCACAAAACTGCCCACTTCCCAACGCTTTACCTTGTCTGTAACCTAACGGGCGCTGCCTGCGAAACTCCCTATCCTACATTTTTCTAACTAATTTCGAAGAATATTATATACTGATTTGTGACGCCACATAGTCCGGTAGAATCTGCCCGACGTTTCGGAATAACGTACTACTTCCATTTACAGGGTCTAATTTTAGTATAAATCTTATGTGCAACTACTTATTAACTTATATAAGACTGTAAAATACAGGAAGCCACAACACAAACTTATTCAGGGTTTTTTTTAATTCACTAAGTGAGGGGTGGAGTCCAGTTGGGTCCACTCGGCACGGCGGCCACTGATTGGCCTATTGTAGCCTGCCCCGGGTGATTATGATGATGGAGAATTTGGTGGAATGAAGATTGGCAGGGTAAACCGAAGTACTCGTAGAAAACCTACCCCAGAGCCACTTTGTCCACCACAAATCCCACTTGACCAGACCCGGGTTTGAACCCGGGTCTCCGCGCTGGTAAGGCAGCGATTAACCGCTTGAGCTATGGCACGGCCACTTTAGGGTCTAGGAGTAAGCTAAGCGACACAGGCAGCAGGAAGAGCTTGTCTCGCAATGCATATTAGTGTCTATCAGAGCCTCTGCGTGTGTTTGTATGTGTGTGTGCAGGTCAGTGGCGAGTCAGCTGATCCTCGGACAGTCCGTCATCGCGGAGACATATGACAGCGTGACCATCTACTTCAGTGACATTGTCGGCTTCACGGCCCTGTCTGCAGAGAGCACTCCGCTACAGGTAACGACGTAACGATAGTCCACTGCTCTGTGTATTTCTGTTAGGGCTGAAATCCATTTATTTGGAACGCGAATGCTTTCTCTTCAGCATTGCCTTACATGTAGCTACTATTCACTGCAGATGTGTGCTGCAATCATAAGAACATCCACAGTCAAATATGACGACCGACTGACTTTAGTTTTCTGCCCTGTAACACCTTGTAATATTCTCTGCGGATACCGACGTTTCGGAAAAATATGCTGCCTCCGTCTTTAGCCCTGAGAACAGAGGCAACATTTTCGTTAGTATCTGCCCACAGTGACCGCCTCTGTGGTCTAGTGGTCAGAGTTCCTGCCTACATATCCAGATATCCCGGGTTCGATTCTCTGCGCTACCAGATTTTCTGGGAAGTAGTGGGTGTGCAACGGGGTCCACTCAGCCTCGTGAGGATAATCGAGGAGGTATTTCAAGGAAATAGCAGCTTAGGTCTAGAAAACAGAGATTATAGGCCGTGGGGATCGGTTGCGCTGATCACGTGACACACTCTATCCGCAAAAGTTGACACTAACTTCGCCGAAAAGCGGCGGTCGCTCGGTCGGTATAGTTCGCTTGCAGACTACAAGTCACGGAGTTTTTCTTTTTCTACCCACAGTACTACGCAGTGTTATAGCCCAGGAGACCACAATGTTGTCAGCAGCCACCTCATGAAAACTTCCGAGCCCGCACCACCTAAACCCCGTAGTATACTTTCCAGTTTGTTTATGTGGTATGTCCGTAACGTGTAGAAAAGCTGTACGTAACTAATGACACTGTGAACTTGGTCCTGTTCATTGAACGCAAAATTCTCTATGCACCGAAGACGATTCTGCATAAGATACTGCACAGCGGTACGGTACTCCTCCACTGTTCATGTAAGACGAACAAAAGTCGCCACACTTGAAGGGTAACAGACAGGTCAAGATGTAAAGTACGTGTGTTTGTGTCTTGTTTGCCTGTACGTTGTGAACCAGTTCCGCATGAATGACAAAGGTTTAATCCAATTAAAGCACAGCGGCAATTGTTTGAACCAATTGCTTTAATATTAATAAAAGTCTCTGCATTCTGCCCACACGGTGTATTCATGTGTTTCATACGATTATCACAATAAACAGAGATTATTTCCCTAAACAGGATTAACCGGAACTTATTTGCAGGCGGCGAGGAAGGCCATGAAAAGCGTTAGTTGCCCGTGCACCGGCTGAAATAATTAACGAAGTGAAAAGTAAAGTTTTCTGGGTTGTAATGACATGTCATTCGGAGAGAACCCGACGTTTCAGAGGAACATATCGCGTCCATCTTCAGGGTCGAAGAGTAAGCCAAGCAGGAAACCAGTAGAAGTTGCACTGAGCTTGCATGGCTTACTCTTCGACCATGTTCCTCCGAAATGTCGGGATAATCCAACAGCTAATGAACTAGTTATCTTTACCAGGGAGGCAAATTATTATACTGTCAACAACAGGAACAAAGATGGTCGCTCCTGTGGCTAATTCGCAATACCGAGAACTGGTTTACGGTGATACCAAATTGATATAAACTAAGGTGCATGAAGATAAGATAAATACACGACCTTTGGCATTTTAACCTTTACAGGCGTTAGTTACATGTCAATGAAGAGAGGCTATGTCAGGAGCGAATTCCTAGAAATCTGCACACCCTGTTTCCAGTTCCCGCCACCCAACATACAGATCGCTGCTCGCTTACTCGGATTCGATTTAATGCATGACAAGTGGCGCGCTGCACTGCAACAGTGTAATAAGGGCCAGGTGTCCGATGAAGGAAACGAGTGCCGTGTGAAAATAATTTAAAGTATACATCCTCTTGTATACAAAAGCAGATGATGTATTTTGCTTGGGCTCACAGAGATTAGCATGGAGTGTTTTCAAAGGTAGGACGAGGGAGGGGTAGGTTGAACAAAACAGACAAATAAATTACGTGAGAAATGAACACAGGAAAAGGGCGCGAAGGCGATCACAGAAAGAACGGGGTATCGGGAAATAAAGAATGGGTGGAAGATGAAAAAGCAAAAAATATATATATATATATATTTCCCCGACTGATTGAACTGGCTCATGTGTTACGAAATATTGTTAAGACCTTTCCTCTTGTATCTCAATCCATCCGGTGAAAATATCTCCCCAAATCACCATAATAAAATACGGTACTAAATTTCATCTGTAGTTTATGCACTGTACCTATACAATTCCAGATTCATAAAACCCAGTCTGGATCCCGTGTCTGCGTGTAAGCTGATCGGCGCAGGCGTTCAAGGCCCCACCCAATCCATTGAGAGAGCGTATTGTTATGGTCTCGCCTGTTTGTTTTTAATCTGTAAATAACAACATTATGATTTATGTAACAAATGCAGGATCCTTCCTTTGAATTTTTAACGACTATTGCACTAAAAGGTACTTGTCCGCGGGACTTCTGTTGGACTGCAGGGGGTCACATCTTCATAATCACCGTTGTAATAACCTCAGATTTACTGGTTTATATATAATGTCTACATTTCATCCTGGAATTTATCTGCCAAAAAGTGGGGTTAGGATTGCATGATGATAGGATTGGATCTTGTTACTAACCATAGGTTTACTAACAGATATATTTTATAGGTATCGTTATGTGCATGGGTGTGTAGTTTCGAATTTTTCCCTGTGGGTTTATTTTTCTAGGTGGTGGATCTTTTGAATGACCTGTATTCCTGCTTCGACTCCATTATTGAAAACTTCGACGTGTACAAGGTAACCAACGGTTCTTCTGAAATTTTATAATTTAGTGGTGTTGAGTCATGGTACCAAAACCATTAATTCGGCATCATCGCATGTCTTGTATATAGGATAGTGCACTGACTTGCCCCCTCCCCCAAAAAATCAATATATTCCGCATAAAATTAGGAAGGTAAACTATTTGTCAGTTGAAGAAAGCAGTTTTCTGGGATCAGGCACCGTGTAGATGTGGTGTTAACCGACGTTTCGGAGGAACATATCGCCTCCATTTTCAGGGTAGAAGGAAAAAATAAGAAAATCCGCAAGCGAAGAGACAGTGAGAACCGGTAGAAGCAGACTGAAGATGGAGGCCATACGTTCCTCCGAAACGTCGGTTAACACCTCATCTACACGGTGCCACATCTCAGAAGACTGCTTTCTTCATAGTCACCGCCGTGAAAGCCTCAAATCTTACATATTTGTCAGTTGTTTTCTTCATCACTACTCGCCCATATTATACAGGGTGATCCATTTAAAATTAATTGTATCATGTCCGAAACTCTTACACGTGTTTCTTGCAAAGTAGTCAAGAGGGCTAGTGCATGTATTGAGAAAAGTGCAGAACACTTCAGCATGTTTAGTGTTCAGGGCACAGATTCAAATGGATCGCCCTGTACTTGATGAGATTTTGGTACCACTGGTTCGTTGTTTCCCACACATTTCATTCACAGCGCAAGTTTTTTTTTTTGTTAATTAATTTCGACTATTAGTGTGCCATTACTGCAAACATATTCTGAAATTCGCCGAATAATTTATAACTAGAGTGTTCCAAGTTTTATTTAAGCAGAATATTCTGTGCTGTGAATGGAGCTGTGTAAGGCATTTGTTATGAATGTCTCGTTTGTGATTCGAGCATGTGAACTCGACACTGGGGCAGTGTTTCCCAGACACTGAAGTTCTGCCTACTTGTCTCTGTAAGTACTAACTAGAAGCAGTACCCGTTCTTCGCCTGGGAGATGGTTATTTTCTTTGTCAATGCCACGCTAAAACTTTAGAGATGGAATAACTCGCAAATTAATAAATTCCAAGTTTACTTGTGTAATTAAAAAGGACTGGAAATGCGTATTTGAACGGCATCCAAAAAAATCTACTGCAAANAACATAAATTTTGCACTCAATCATTTTATATATAGACCTGTCTCAGACTGTGGTAATTACGGCTTCCTGCATGAAACACATAGACACAAATAACTTTATGCACCTTAAGAATTTGCCTGTGATTACATAGCAACAGCTCAGAGGAAAGAACAGACGGTTAACAGAAAACAGCGACAGGTTTCTGTAGGGTTGTTGGCGGCTGCGTCACTGTTGTGTCCGGACTGCGCAGTAAGCGCAGGTATGGATAGAAGTCTTCCACTCACCCTCGATTTGAGACGGACTCTGGGGTGATTTTGGTTTGGAAACATTCTCATCGGTATAATGTGTCTAAGACATTTGTGATGTCGCTTCATGAAGCGACACTGACGTAGATCCTTACGTCATAAAATAAGTAGATTCTACTTTCAGCATATTGTCATGTGTATGAGCGACTGTAGACGGAGTTTGGATTGGTAATTGGATTTATTAAACACTTGAAGATTGTAACTATAGCGCTATCGCTAATTCGCACACTCTAGTAATTCACTACAGCACGTACTAAAACTTCTCAGTCTGCTGTGTATTCACCAGTCGTTGTCTGGTAACGGCTTCCAACAGCGGAAGTTCCCCTTACTCTGGGTTCCTGAATTATCCCCGTGCCTCAGCTACCTTCTAACAGCAACAGCTCATATGGACTGAACCGCATCAGTCCTAACTCACTCACCAACCAATTCTCTCCACTGTACTGCATTGCACTGCACTGCACGAACTCAACTGAACTAGATCGGTCGAGTGATGCAGCCTATATACAGACTATATAGAAAACATGGCTTCCAACAGTTATTCTACTGTTGTGTCACGCAGTTGTCGCACTGACCGCGCGGAGAACACCGCTTCCCAGTTCATTGGTGCGTGTTAGGCGTCTGTTGCCTAGCAACGGGCGTTGTTTACAGTGTCACTGCTTAGCAACGGGTATACATGCTACAGTATGATGGGAAACAAACTCACCAAGCCTGTGACTTCCCTAAGCACAGAGGGGTGACGTAGCCTCGTGCAAGTTTCAGACAGATAACAGTAAATGATATACGGTAACATTAGCAAGTGCACTCACGTTAGAACTGTTGCAGAAATGGCACTGGTTCCTGCGGTAAATTTGGGTCTACAGATTCTGAACATTAAAACTGTCGTCTGAACTGTGATGCCGTCTAGTCTGTTAGGATCACGGAAACCTGAAGCTGGGGGCGACAGTACACGACGTCACACCTCCGCCAGAAACTCGGTGTGCACCGTGTTCGCGCCTAGTTATGCGTATTTCATCACGAAATCACTTACCTGCTGTTTGCATACGCGTCTCGAATTTCAGCGCGAGCATTATCATGGACTTAAGATATGATGCAAGAACTTTTATGGAAATCTCCTATAGCCATACATTATTGTGTTTATTGTAAGTAAAGCCTGGAGTCCTCAGTTTCTGGGTTACTGTAGCGCACTGTCAGCAGCTGAGAACATAGANCCCCCCCCCCGAATATGATTCTAGAGCGCTGGATCTAACGTCTTCAACCCTTTGAGTTACACACCCTATCTGTATTTCTTGCGCCCTAGTAGATGATTTCCGAATGCATCGAAGTGTAACACAGGCAGTTTCACAGAAAAACTGAAGATACCTGCAGAGGACCATAGTAAACTTTGAAATTAAACTTAAACGTTACTGTTACGATTGGTACGAGACCGCGCCATAGCTCAAGCGGTTAGTCGCTGGCTTCCCACCGCGGCGGCCCGAGTTCGATCCCGGGTCTGGTCAAGTGGGATTTGTGGTGAACAAAGTGGTGCTGGGGCGGGTTTTCTCAGAGTACTTCGGTTTCCCCTGCTAATCTTTATTCCACCAAATCCTCCATCATCATAATCACCCGAGGCAAGTACAATAGGCCAATCAGTCGCCGTCGTGCCGAGTGGACCCAGTTGGACTCCACCCACAATTAAGCGATTGGTACGAAGCCCTTTGTGACTGAATGAATTGGAGTAGAACTATTTGGGAGATTCTCGGTTCGAATCACGACCAGCCATTTTGGCTGAAAATTTTCGTGTTTTTCCTCGCTGTCTCCAGGAAATTGTCTGGATATTACCTCGATTAATCCACGACAGTTCTTTTTTTCAAATCCTTTTGATTCATCTATCATCCCACTATTCGACGCTATATGGTCTAGTTACTGACAGCGTCCGTAGAATAACCCCCCCCCCCAAGGACAAAAAATATATTCCGTAGGAGCTGGGAACAAACAATGTATTACGATTGATGTTTTAAATGGATAGTATTTTCTTGGCTGAGTTTGGAAATCACTGCTAACCGCGACATGTTCCTTTCGTATTAATTCTGTGAGAAGTTAAGTCACCCTAAATACTAAAAACTACTACTAATAATAATAATAATAATAGTAATTCCACGTGTTAAGAGTGACTATAGACGGGGTTTGGATTGGTAATTAGATTTATTGACCACTTACTTATCATGACTGCAAGTAACTATAGCGCGATTCACACACTCTACAATTCACTACAACACGCACTAAGTCTTTTTAGTCAACTGTATCGTCACAGGTTTTCGCCTGGTAACGGCTTCCAATGCCATAGCTTCCTCATCTTCCGTGTTCCCTTCCTTACTGACTGGCGAATATCTTACAACCAAGTAAACTCAAAGTCAAAGTCACATTGCGATTGGCGGTTAGTCAGTAAAGTTTGTTGTCGAGCCCCATATGGGGCTCATGACCAGATATTTATTACTGTTTGATAGTTACTGTCTTGTTTTGTGGGGCGCCCTCTCTAACGAGAGGACGGATCTGTCTTTTGTATATGCTGCTGGCCCTTGCCAACGCAGTCTTTCTCGGGCCCAAGTCCCTTGAGACTTGCGACCATATTTTACTGTCTCAGATTTGAGACTTTCCTTTTCGTCGCCCCCTACGACTCGCAGGGTCACGGTGGAGGTATTCGATCCCGCCTCCACACGGGTATCACAACTAAGTAAGTAAACTCTTAGAATTGTCCTGCGTATAACACCTCGACACGAGCCGCATAGAAAACACCGCCTCCAGTAGTTATATTGTTGCGTTGCGCAGCTGTCGTATGGATCGCGTAGAGAATACCGCCTCCCAGTTAGTCCATTGGTGCGTGTTAGGAATCTGTTTCTTAGCAACGGGCGTTTTTTGCGGATTCGGTACGTAGTAAGGCGTCTGCAAGATACAGCAATAACAATAATAATAATAATAATGAAGAAGAAGAAGAAGAAGATAATTAAATGAACTATCAGTCAGTGTACACCAAAGAGTATGATCGTCCTCACACCGGTGTGACAGGCATTATCTGCAAACTTCTGATGAGCATTGCTCTATGCTCCGTAAGCTTGGGAGTTCCGATATGTATGGACGGAGCGGCTTCTTTGGACTTTGCGCCACAGTTTGGGAAACGCTGTCCATATCTTGTATCTTGACACGTAGCCAATGTGAAGCTTGTTACTTGTTCACAACAAGTATACCCGTGTATGTTCTGCGTATCTGAATTTGTTGGATTTCGACATGAATTTTCTATATTTCTAGTTGTGTTTAATCGGTTGCCAGAGCAATATTTTCTTGTCTGTATTTCTGTAAGCCTCTAATGTATTGTCTCCTCTGGCCAATGCATTCACTGCACGCAGTAGAGGCTCCTCCTTAAGATGCTAACAGTTACTCAGGTGGTCAAGAAATTCCCCGTCTTTTATGCAGCCCGAAGCTTTATTGCTTCCCTGTACCAGATGGCTCTAGTTCACACCCTCGCATCCTATTTCCCTAACGACAGATTTCAATGTTATTCTCACATCTACGTCAAACCGGCCTGTTTGCTTCACGTTTGCCGACCAAAATTGTGTTAACTCCTATTTTTTGCATCCTGTTGTGTGCAATGGAATTAAGCCTTTATGGTCATCGTCGGCAGAATAACCAATTAATAAAATTGGTGTCAGTAAAATGTTCCTGTCTACTTTTAATATGTAGAAACCACTGCATGTTTCGGTCATAATGGAGGATTTTATTTTAACATCCAGCATGTAGTCGTAAACATATATTTATTCAGAATAAATTCTTATTTTAATATTGATATATTTTTAATTACACAATGTAATTGTAAAAACTGGATCCATTTTAGCTTGACAATTCTGTGACGCCGTGAATTACTACCTGAAGATAATCTGTTATGATCGAAACATGTACTGAGTTGTATATAATTAACATTTTATTAATATCACTTTCATTAACTAGTTTTCTGTCTTCGGTCATCACAGTGCCTCAAAATCATATTTCCATTTCCCAAGTTCCCTTGCATGCTACATGTACCTCCTACCACAGTCTCTTAAATGACTCGTGTGGCTACAGGTTGAGACCATAGGAGACGCTTACATGGTGGTGTCCGGGCTTCCCGTCCGGAACGAGACGTTACACGCCAGGGAAATTGCCCGCATGTCTCTGGCTCTGCTGTCAGCAGTCCGTGGGTTCACGATCCGACACAGGCCTTCAGACCAGCTTAAACTACGTATCGGAATGCACACAGGTAGGAACAAAATGAGCTGCAGGTTCTGGCCACTTGCACTTTTTGTTAGAATTGTTATTGTTATTAATTTCTCTTATAATAGTTGCTGGTACTCAATGTGTTAGAGGCTGAGTCGACCCCAGGGCCATATTGCGGCAGGGTGGATTAGGTCAATTGAAAAAAATCCAATGACCTCATCGGGACTCGAACCCGCGACCTTCCGGCTTATAGCATAGTGCCTCAACCAACTACGCTACCGATTCTTGGAATGTTCTTGGGGGTAAAGGGCGGACGGCGCGTAGGGCTGACCTTGCCGCCATCTGTGAGCCGATTGTCTAGAAAATGTGGGAACCTCAAAATCTCACAACCCTTTGGGTCTCCACGGCCTGTTACAGGGATACCTTTATTTTACTTACTTACTTTAATATTAGATTTGTGGTGAACAAAGTGGCGCTGGGGCAGGTTTTCTCCAAGTACTTCGGTTTCCCCTGCCAATCTTCATTCCACCCATTGCTCCACAATCACCCTCACCTATCATCTGGGGCTGCTACAATAGGCCAGAAGTGGCCGCAGTACAAGGGACTCAGTCCCACCCCACTAGCAATAATAATAAATAATACTTTAATATTGTAATAGTTACCACTGGCTTGCAGTTCTTAGCGCACCATGTCCTTCTTCCGCAGAAAGTAGCTGTATNCCACATTCATTTCCATGCCATAGCACCTTCCAATTTCAATTAGTCCCGGCTTACAGACTTTACGAAAATTGGTATCAGCGTTATGTCACTGGAGGTTACTCCAAAGTTCATGTTTTCTAATTTCGTACAATCAGTAACTAAACATTGCAGATGCTCCGACATGGGTGGGATTGACACCTAGCGTACCCTGAAATAACTTGGTAACAGATCCTTACTCACTCCTTGAGCTGAGCCTTTCTTGAGGAGCCGCCAATTCTGCAGCTACTCAAGAACTTCCCAGCATTTTATGGAACCCGACGATTCATTGCCGTGTTCACAAGGGCCCTCCACTGGTCCCCATCCTGAGTCAGATCAATCAAATCCATACCATCCCATCCTATCTCTCTAAGATCAATTTTAATGTTATCCACCCACCTACACCTTGATCTTTCCAATGGTCTCTTTCCTTCTGGCTTTCCCACCAATATCTTATATGAATTCCTCTTCCCCCTATTCGTGCTACATGCCCTGCCCATATCATCCTCATTGACTTGATCATTTTAATTATACTTGAGGAAGAATACAAGTTATGAAGCCTGCAAATATACGAAAATCTTCAAACTTTTTTAGACCTTTTTGTGCAGCTTGAAATAACAACATGGCGCTGTGCAGATATTTTCTTTGGTCATCAGTTTGATGGCGAGAACTGATGAAGTACTAACACTGGGCCTCCTGTATGGAAACATGTCAAAAACGTGTCTAGACGCTGTGTATGAGTCATTGTTTGTAGGTCAGCAATTACAAATATGGCGATGCAGCGAAACTTTGCGGCTTATCCAACGAATTCGACGTATGCAGGATCTGTAATACAGTGTGTCAACGACGTCCTTTCGGGGTTTTAAAAAATTGTGGCGCGCAAACAAATTGAGCTAGCCACATGCGGTTTGCGGTAGATGGCAGTGAAACTCTGAAAGTATTTTACTGGCCTCAGTAGACCTCGATGTGAGTTCCCTTGGTAGCACGGAGAGCGTCCCGACGATATTCGAGCTCTCGCCATGTTCTGTGGAGCATGTCCGCTGGAATAGCCGAGATCGCTTTCCTGATACGGGTCTTCAGGGCATCAAGTCCGTTAACTGGTGTTCGGAACACACTGCTCTTGACATAACCCCACAGGAAAAATCCAGTGGTATTATGTCTGGTGAACGTGGAGGCCAAGACATTGGACCGTCTCTGCCGATCCATCTTCCTGGAAATGCCCTGTCTAGGAACGCGCGTACCTGCAGACCCCAATGAGGTGGAGCACCATCTTGTTACAGAATGATGAGGGGCTGTAAGTGCTCAATTTGTGGTACTGCGTGCAGTTGCAGCATGTCCAGATGGGTGTTCATGTTGATCGTCTGCTCTTGAAGAAAAAAGGGTCCATTAACCTGGTCGTGCATTACACCACACCGCATGTTCTCTTTCGGACTATCACGTATGTTTTCCTCAACAACATGTGGGTTTTCAGTGCCCTATATGCGCACATTATGTCTGCGAACTTTACCCGAGACGTGAAATATTGCCTCGTCGGTGAACATGATATTTTTTTAAGACGTCCACGTCAAGGTCAATCCGGTCGAGCATTTCTTCTGCAAAATGTTGATGTGCCATGCCATCAGCAGGTTTCAGCTGAACCTTGTATGCGCACAACCTCAACCTCTTATGCAGCACTTTGTGTATCATTGATAGTGAGAGTAACAATTCACGCGAATCTCGACGTGTGGACTTTGTAGGGCTTCGTACAAACGATTCACGGATTCTTTCCACACATTCATCGCTTACAACCTGTCTGCCATTTGTCTTGCGATCATGGACGCTCCCTGTTTCTGGGAAACGCCGTTGCCAGTCTCTTATTGCTTTGTCACTCGGAGGTTGCTTATTGAACTGTGTGCGGTAATTTCTTTGAGTCTGGGTGACTGATTTTGTCTCAAAAAGCCATTGTACACAACGTGCGCGTTCCCGCATGGTCGCCATTTCACAAACAACTCACTGAGAAACGTAAAAATGGCCGCTTGTGCCATCTATTGGCGGCAAAAGAAAACTTCCAGAGTTTCGCTATGATCTGCCGCAAACCGCATATGGCTAGCTCAATTTGTTTGCGCGCCACAATTTCTCAAAACCTCGAAGGGACTTTGTGGACACACTGTAGTACTGCGTAGGCACAGCTGTATGTACACTTCTCTGCTGCATATGACGATAAACATGAAATACTTAACATTTAATTTTCTATACCAGAAAGAGGGATAGTTACATATTTACGTCAGCTTCGTCACGGTTCGCGTCCGTAATGCGTTGGAAGAGTTTTTGTTTGGAACATCACAACCCGTTGCTTTAGGACTCCCCTTTTTGCATTTCCTTTGTAGCTTTCCTTGGGGCCCTTAGCGGTTCATATTGACTGAAGTGAAATGGGGTGTGGAAAAGGGGGAAACTGGTTAAACCATGTTCACACTAATTTGTAATTCCATGTATTGCTTTTGTCAAGTTCACAACGAAAATTTGAAGAAAAAAAACGCTCTTTTCGTTTTGAACTTGTGTTTCTCACGGCTATCGTCTCGTTTGAAACGCAGCATAGTTCGCAGAGTGCCTGACGTTTCGGAGGAACATGTCGCCTTGGTCGCCGCCTGCTTCTGCTGATTATTCTTCGACTCCGAAACTCCGGGATCTTTCCCAATTAAACAGCGTTACAAAGAACGTACTCTCCATGCTTCTGTTGCTTCCTGGGCCCTGTGACCGGCTGTGCTGACCGTAATTATTCGTCGAATTTCTTACTCCTTCCGAGGAACTCCCGGTGCTGCGACCTCTCCCTTCCATATCCTTTTCCAGCTCATTATTGTCTAGTCGCCGTACCATTCGACGCTACAGCGTCTGGGCTACTGACAGCGCAGTTAAATAAGTCATAAACATTCTTCTATCTCCGCGAACTTCCAAGTGGACATTTCCCAACCAAAATTCCATATTAATTCCTAGTCTCCCCTCAATTTTGGAAACTAGCCCATCCCAACACTGCAGACTCACGAACACGACGATAGTGCATTCCACTCTGAACGCACTCCAGTGAATATATTCATGTTCTGTGTACCGAGATATAAATAGCGGTGTGTTGCGTGTTGCAGGGCCCTGTGTGGCGGGCGTGGTCGGCCGCAAGATGCCCCGGTACTGCCTGTTCGGAGACACGGTCAACACGGCATCGCGCATGGAATCCAATGGCCTACGTTAGTATGAAGTAGAGTTACTGCCGTGTCATAGTAGTAGTAATGAAGCAACAGTCTGGCCTGCAGGCCGAGGGCGCCCCGCAGTGCTGCACAAGTCCTTTGTACTGCAAACTGCCTTACTAATGAATGTGATTATCCTTTTCAGCCCTTAAAATCCATGTGAGCCCTAAAACAAAAGCTGTCTTGGATACGTTCGGGTCATTTGAACTGGAACTCCGGGGCGAAGTGGAGATGAAGGTAAGAATTTGCTCCCAGTTTATGTGCATGTTTTTATATTATCTATCCATCCACTCCTAGGTCTTCCAACTTGTCTCTTCCTTTCAGCCTTTCCAACTGAAACTCTAAATGCTTTTCTCATTTCTCCCACTCGTGCTACATCCCCAACTCGACATTTATTTCCTTGATGTCAGTAGACAAAAGACGAATCAAGTAGTTCTACACAAGCATGCACCCTAAGCACCACACCAGGATACACCACCACCACATAAAGAATGAACGCGAGAAATACGCATGCGCAATATAAATCCAGTATGCGACGTGAAAACACACGTGCCCTACGGGAACCTGAGTCTGCCGTGCTCATCAAGAACAACGATCATTACAAAGGACCCAGGGCTGCCTGACCAAATAAAACAAAACAATAAAAATAACAAAAATGATAATAAACCAACAGTGGTCTAATTTTAATTAGTGCAAAATCCCATCTGGTTTAAGTTGAATAGAAGCAAAAGCATATGAAAACAAATTTTAAGGCCGATGCAAAATTAAAATATGTTTGTACTACGAAAAACGCATAACTTCCGGAAGTCTGGGACAAAAGTTTATACAATTCACAGTATGTGTTTAAATCCATAGCAAAAGATCGACATTGTAAACAGCAAAATGACCTTTGTCCACTTGTAAACATTGACCAATGGAGGAGGAATAGCAGAGAGAGCAGAAGTACTACCTGATAGTGGTCGAAACATGTCGTGACGTAGCTGTATATTATCCTATAATTATACGTATATTGTGACATTGAACTGAAAGAAATAAAAAGAATTTAGCAGGCTTCACAACTGTGAGTGTTCACGTGACTTTGTTTTGTTCTTTTTAAGGGAAAGGGAAAGGTCACGACGTACTGGCTCATTGGCGAGAAGCCGGATGTTGCGAACGTTTCCAGCACAGCCGTTGCTATGACAACGGCCAACAGTAAGAACTGTGTCAGCAGCTCTCCGCCGGCCGTCATCGCGACAGCGGAAGCCGCTCCAGTATATTCCGTGTCTTTCTCGTCACTTCCGGTGACGGGCAGCAGAAGCAACGGCGCTGCAGCAGCCATCAACACGGTGACCCCAAGTAAAGCCAGTTCAAACCGAAGCAGGAGCACATCGGCGGTTGCGCAGACAGCCCAGGGAGGCTCACCGAAGACAAACAGTATCACCAGCAGGGGCAAGACAGTCTCTAGTAAGACGAACAATGTTGCTTCAGCGACTCCCTCCAGAAGTAACAATGTAAGTATGAGCAATAGTGTAGCTCACTCGCCGAGTTTGACGTCAACTAAAAACAATACTATGACGCCGACGCCGAGCGTCACGACACCATTGCTTTCTAAGGACATCAATGCGTAGAACTCAAGTTTTAGATGCCTTAAATTGTTGGTGGTGTGATTTGACGTGTAAATACATACTTAATGTTGTAAAATATAGCATATCCTTGTGCCATCACCATGTAAACATAGACAAGTATTTTAATTTAGATCAAGAATCGTAACAAGAGCGAGTGCATCGGAAGCAAACAGAGGCCCTCCCAACATGTGTGGCCTGTTTACATAATTGAAACTTACACCACAAAGAAGTGCTTCCTCTGAGAATCACGGGAAGTGAATTTGGTGACACAAAATATAAACGGGACAGCTGTGCGCTTGCGCATATTCAGTACGAATTTACAGAATTATAAAACGTGAACATCTATGACTTAAGGGAAGAGAGTGTTTGGAAGACCTAGGTTTCGATGGAAGTACACTATTGATATTGTTCTCAAGAGAATATAGTGTGAGGTGCATACTGGATTCATCTGGCTCACAAAGTGAGGGCTGTTGTGAACATGGTAATAAGTACTAGGGTTCTATAAGAAGAGGAATATTCGTTAACCAGCTGAACTCCTGTTAATTTTACGTGACCTAAGCTGGTTTGAAGATTCAGACGAGCTGTGACTCGGAGTGACACAACAGATCTGCATCAGGAAGGTAGTTCATCTACTACTGAAGGAAACCAACATCAGGACTGTAATAGTTATTTGTAAGGGATTTGTTTTCAGGGAAAATCTCTAATGGATATTACCTGAAATACAAGATTTCCTCTGTTTCCAATAATAATTTCAGGTAAGTTCTTGTTTGATTGCCAAATCCTACACAAAATGCAATCATATCTGTATTTTGATGTTGCCAACATAAAGCGACAAAACCAATACTGTTACTTCAGTCCATCTGTGTTATAAATTGAAGGTGTCATATAAAATTAGCAAATAGAGTTACTGCAAAAATATTAAAATACGAATTAAACTACTGATTTAATTTCAGTTGTGTGTATTGAGACACGAAAGAAAACTGTTGGCATAATACAGAGTGTCCGTCAAGTTCCTGTATATTTTGTTGAACTAATGACGTGACTTCTTTATGAGACTCAAACTGATAATGAATGTACAAGAACGTTCATTAGCGTTGCTTCAAATACAAGGGAAGAACTAAAAAGAAATTGGATCTGTTCTTATTGGGGCATTATGTATCCTACCGTGTTTCGATTTCAGCAAAATCTCGTTGGAACTTAACTGAACACTCTATATGAAATGAACTCAGATTTGACCTGCATTCCGGCGTTAAAATATTTAAAATCATGTCAAATATTGCCGCTGCTATTTCAGTATGGGAACTGAATGTACGTACCGTATGTTAAGGGAGCTGGGCCCCAAGCGGGTTCACTGCACCGCCGTCAGATTGGTGGAACCACAATTGGCAAGGAAACCGAGAGTAGAAAACCCCGCTTCATTGCCTGCCACTTTGTCCACCACAAACCCCACTTATATTGCCCCGGTACTGAATATAGGCTTCCGCGGTGAGAAACCCCCAAGTAACAGCCTGAGCTATGATCCCCCCCCCAGTATGGAGGCTTGAATATTGGCTTCAATACTGGGGTTCGATTCCTGGCATGGATACATATTTTTAGGTGGAACATTTATAGCGACCCTCGGACCACCCAGCCTCCTATACAATGGGCACTGGAGACTTTTTCACCGAAGTCAAATGGATGGCCGTGAAGCTTACCACTCACTTCCATTTAATACCAAGATTAAGAATGGCTCCTCCCATGCGTCATCGTGCTTAATTAAGCACAATTAACTACTTTACCTTTACCTTGGACTGAAGTACTGTGACATGTACACCCGTTGATAGCAGCGACCGCAAGATAAGCAAATATACAACAGCCGTTACTAAGTGACGGCTTCGCAAACAAGCTAGTTTCTACGGCAACAATTGAATCAGCAAAATAGGGACGATATTTTCTGTGCGGTCCGTGACGAAATGTTATAAGTAGGACATACAGTGAAATGAGATCAGCGAGTGACATAGTACACAATGAAAACTTGAAATAACATACTATATGTGCGATACGTCCACTTGACAAAAGGCCAAGCATATTCATAAGAGACAAACCTACCCTCTCGTCAGAGAGGATGTTACATAACTGATTGGCGGTAAACGGCCAGTCGTAAAGTAATTTTGACTTTGATTTGAGTGATACCAGTTGAGTGGCGTTTGTGAAGAGAGTTGGTTGGTGAGTGGCTGAGTTAGTCAGTCAGTCTGTTAGAGGACTGCTGGTGTTCAGTACTTGTGAGCTGTTGTTTTTAGAAGCTGGTAGCTGAGGCACGGAGATTGTTCAGGAACCCAGAGGAAGGGGAACGTCCGCTAGTGAAGACGTGACTGTGAACACTAGTGTGTGCGTATGTAACAGTGAAGTGTAAAAGTCATGCGCTATATCTAAGAGTCCAATAAATCCGTTCAGCAACTCAAAACCCGTCTATAGTCACACTCAAACACGTGACAGTATGTTCAAACCGGCGTTCGTTTGGCCCCAACTTCTTTGCAAAGGAGACGAATCATATGGCGGGCAGCTATAATTCTTGTAGAATGTTTCCAACCGCCATATTTTCTGCCAGCTTCAATGATATTAAGGGAACATGTTATTGTAACGGTGTTTTGTGAGATATGGGGTACTGACGGAGGTGACAGTGGGATGTGATCCGTGGTTACGAATATTTTGGAGGAACCAGCTGCTTCTCACTTCAGAGTAAAACAGTAACACGGGACCGATCCTCCATGTCCCTATATCCATGCCACTTCTTTCAATGCTTGGCTTACTTTTCTACTCTGACGAGGGAGGCAGCAGGGTCTTCCGAAATATTGGTGACGATCTACTAGACTACACAGTCTAACAGCTTAGAAGACGGTAATCTTAAAAATATTCTTAATTTTTCGCAACTTTTGGCTGTTATCATAATGGGCCCTTAACTTTCTCCCAAGATGACGTTCTGTATGTAACAACAGCAACAGGGGGTCAAATATGAGTTACCGTGTATTTTGTCACGCTGAATATCGACATAGGAAAAACATGGCATTTTTTATTATTGCTAGTGGGGTGGGACTTAAGTCCCTTGTACTGCGGCCACTTCTGGCCTATTGTACTATCCCCAGATGATAGGTGAGGGTGATTGTGGAGCAATTGGTGGAATGAAGATTGGCAGGGGAAACCGAAGTACTCAGAGAACCTGCCCCAGCGTCACTTTGTCCACCACAAATCCCACTTGACCAGACCCGGGATCGAACCCGGGCCGCCGTGATAAGGAGCCAGTGACTAACCGCTTGAGCTATGGCGCGGCCAAAAACATGGCTTCGTAAGTTTTATATTGAATTTTAAGTCAGCCCTAGACATTAGTGGCGACGGGAGCTCACGTTTAGAATCACTGCGGACCCTGGACATTGTCCGTTGTCCAACGGTCCAAAATGAGGTAGGAGACAAATTCATTTTGCGAAAAGTTGTGTCCAATTTGGAGTACTGGACGGTGGACAAAATCCAAAAACCCAATGATATGAAATTGAATTTTAAATTCAAGAATGAATTATTTTCGTAAATATATCAGTAATTATATTTCTCTTAAGAGTTATGGTTAAGTGGTTGATATTTCTTCTGATGAATTTGAACCACAGAAGATCGAATCATTATGCATGTCTTGTGACGTTTTGGACTTAGTTATTGGAATGGTACGTCCATCGGTTATATAGCAAACCGCCATGCTGGTAATAATTATTGGTAGCTTAATAAAGCGCCATACAATTGACGTTGCACTGCACCGCTGCGATAGGCCATTTCGGCGTCTGAGCTGCCACAAGCTGTACCTCCGTAAACAGGCCTGTATCATAGTTCTGTTATGTGGATACCGCCCTGAGGAGAGTTACACACGTAATCTGTCTGTAGATATTGTGTAAACAGTTCTATTGGCTGGTTCTTGGGGTATTTTACTGATGCTTATCCAAATGGACAGGTCATGCAAATTTTCATGTGGTGGGGAGGCGATCATGGCAGTGAACAGCGAAAGATTTAGTGGGAATCAGCCGTGGCCTATTTCAATGTGCTTACTGAAACCAAGTAATGAACATGTCACCTTTAAAGACAGCAGCCGGCAGGAGTTTGAAGAATCGATTGAGGGGTTGTCTGAGCTGTCTACGCCAGAACAGCGTCATCACTTCCGGGGGTAATCAGGCACTAACAAAGCATAATTAATTTTCAAGGAAAGTTTACATTGGAGAAACCAGACTCCAGCTTGCGAAACTTGGGCTCCCGCACCGACGAAAGGATGCAAATTCAAAGGTTTGGTGTGTTTCGAGAACCGGAAGCTGAAGGGAATATTTGTATCTAAGAGAGCGGAAGTAACAATGGAGGGAATTACATAATGAGAAGCTCATGAATATTTATAAAACCTTAGCGTCAAGAGATTTCGCAAACTGCCACGAATCCTGAAGTTGCAGTAATAAATTTATTTTATTGTATGTACTTTTGCATTGCAGAGCTTACCCAGAGCATGTTATGGTTAGTTGGCGACAAATTAAATGTGGACTGAAAAAAAAAGGTAAGTAAAAGTAAAATCATGTAACAGGCCGTGGAGGCCCATAGGGTTGTGAGACGTTGAGGTTTCCACATTTTTTAAACAATCGGCTCATAGATGGCGGCAAGGTTGTCAGCCTTACTCGCCGGCCGCCCTTTACACCCAAGAATATTCCTGGTACTCATTTCTGTTAGAGGCTGAGTCGACCCCAGGGCCATAGCGCGGCTGGAAGGATTAGGTCAATTGAAAAAATTGAATGACCTCATAAACAAAAAGTATCGATTATGAAATAAAAAATGTACGTCCTCTGGCTAAAGGGATATCGAAATTAATCTCGTTTGCTTACAGAAATCACTGCTCATCCTGAAACGTAGCCATTACAGTTGCATGACTTGCGAGCAGCTTTCAGTTTCTGCTTGAAATAAATTCTGCAGTCACGAAATTTCTGAACGTAACATGTTCCGTTGTTGACCTGGAGTAATCTCAGTAATGAATCCCATTATCCTTGCACGTTTATTGCAGTTATTCGGTATTTGTCACGCACAAAACACTTCGCTGTTTTCACTAGACTCTCCATGAATGTGTGGGCTGTACCTCGTGCTACGTGTTTGTGTAGTGGCGCTGACACTCCGACAGTGTTAGTATAGCTGTAGAACCATATATGCGAGACGTACTCACTTCGAAACAAGACAGAAACACCGACTTTCCTAAATAAAATATTTTGCCCTTTTCCCTCGGTCTTTGTAATCAAATGCCAGGATAGTACCGCGATTGAGTGATGACCACTTTTTTCCTAATCCTTTCCAATCCATCATTCATCTTTCATTCTCTATACAGTGTTTTTCAATGATGGAGAAAACCTCTCAGCAGCGTATAAAAGCTGACACATTTCTCGCAGATTGCTGCTGTAACTTCCGGTAGCAGAATGAGTCATTAGCGCTGATAAATGCGCCCGGTCGGGTGGCGTGATCTTGTCACTGCAGCAAGTCGCATTAATAGTCACGTCTTTGTTAGCGGTGTCGATGGGCGGTCGACATTTATAGTGAAATGACGTTCACTACTTAGCAGCGTATGTTTATTGTCGAAACTTTTGTAGGCCATGGTCGCAATACGGGAAGTGTTTGAAGACAAAATAATCAGCAGAGGACAGTGGCCTCCAAGATCTCAGTTTTTACGATTTTTATCTTGGGCTAAACCTGAAGGAAAAAGTCTACAAGAACAATCCTCGCAGCACTGAAGCTCTGCTGTATGAAACAACACTTGGTTCAATTACCGTGGACCAACTTAAGAAAATGTCGCATAATTTATTTACGATATGCGAGGCATGTTTGCAAGCAGAAGGGGGCTACTTTGGGCACCTGTTATAAAGCACAGTAAGTTTGTATTCATTCATCAGTAATCTGTCAGGACGACAGGTCCACAGTTCCTCCACTTGATGCGATCTAGAGCTTTCTCCTTCAAATGAAACATCTCGCATACATGGTATCTCTGGTTTTGGAAAGAGACTATCCAGGAAAAGTGATAATGTGGTAGTTTTTCCATTTGCTTTCCACATCGCAGTACAATAGGCGTTCAAACCACTCTGGTCACGCCTGTTGCTATACGAACTTGAACCATCTCGAGCATTATTTACTCTGTGCTTCAAGTCGCTGCTGATGACGCTGCTTCCGGCATCAGTTTTTGGTGTCTCTCTTCGTCTGATGCCTACCCTTTGACCTGTCCAGCAAGGGAGGCCCTGCCAGTAGCTACGCTACCGCTGGTATAGCTCTCAGGGTCCTTGGCATACTCAAACTCCCTCACCACGATAAGGTGGAGCCACCAACGAGGGGAAGTTTGTATTATCCTTTTACAATATTCTTATAAATGTGTGCAGGTACAGAAACTGATATGAAGGACTCAGCGACACGACTGCACTCTCGCTAGCGGGGAGGGGCACAGTAGTCGCGGAGAAACGTTCCATCCGCTCTACGCTGCTGTTTGGTTTCCTCTACATCTGAACACTCTGTAATATGACACTGTATTGTCATAAGCGCGTAATGGCGGAATATTCAGTGAATTAATGAACTCGAAAGGACGTGTAGTAAAGTGATCATGGTCTAATATGAAATACTATCCCAGCATCTCCCCGGAGAGACTGGAGAGAAGAAGGAAGAAGTTTTCACCGTAGCCAATATTTGGACATGAACACAAAGCAGAAATGATAATGCCTCGACCGCAGAATTCCCTAATTATAATATTTATATTTTGAACTATCAGAATTAATCTGTCCCTGTCAGTGAAATATATTACAGTAGAAAGTTATAAAGCAAGTTTAATTTCAGCCACGTCTCTGTAAGTGTCAGCTTGATCTCTCTGAAGTTTATTTTCAAACCGCTGTCTGCTTCGTTAGCGCTCTGTGAATTCATACCTACAGCCAGGATCTCGCGGTGTGTCAATGAACTGCAGGTCTGTGGTAATGACTTTCCCCACAGAAAATTTAATGGTAATTCAGAGTTTATGTTATGTTTCCCTTTGAAGTAGTTGCACATAGGCATATGCCTCGCAGTGCCCACTCTGCGTCGTGCTATTTACACTTTGTGGTGATATTCGCGTTTTCGCATGGAAATTTGTCAACTGCAGGTACGCCAAAAAACAGTATGTTGTACAAGGGGTGGGTCTTCTCGGTCCTTGAACCGCGAGCTACAGTGGTCTATTGTGCTTAAACGGTATGTTTGCACACACGATCCCATGTATGCACGTTATATTAACGTAAAGGTGTAATTATTGAAATAAACAGAAGTGTAATTTTATCGCCTCAAATGGGTGGCCATGCCAAGTGAAGAACACGGGGAAGCAGCGTTTGCGAAGATCATGTGCACCGAAGAGACGGGAAGTGGCTAGAAGCCGGAAAATGTCATCAGTATAACCTTCATGATTACAACAGAGATTATTAGGGCGGCAAACTTCAAGTTACATGCGTGCAGGTCGCTGGCTTCTCACCGCGGCGGCCCGGGCTCGATCCTGGGTCTGGTCAAGTGGGATTTATAGTGAACAAAGTGGCGCTGGGGCGGGTTTTCTCCGAGTACTTCGGTTTCCCCTGCCAATCATCATTCCACCAAATTCTCCATCATCATAATCACCCGGGGCAGGCTACAATAGACCAATCAGTGGCCGCCGTGCCGAATGGACCAGTTAGATTCCACCCGTCACTAAGCGAATTAAATTTTTTTTTTTATAAATTTTGCATGCGTGCAGTAACATGCTGGTTTGTCTCCTGCCTCCAGTGTTTCCATGGCTCCTTACTTCCACTGAACTACACGTATTATGCAAAAGTTAATTCTGAGCTGTAACTGAGTTTTTACTGCATTTATATACTCAAAAACAAAAAGACTCCGTGGCTTGTAGTCCGTAAGCGAACTATACCGGCCGAGTGACCGCCCCTTGTCGGCGAAGTTAAGCGCCGGGAATCGAACCCGGGACCTCTTGAAACTCTGACCACTAGACCACAGAGGCTGTCATTGATGTACTCACTATATGAAATAAGCTCAGTCAGTATAGTAACTACGCTACTGGCTGGATGACCGGCCAATAGGAGATAGATTTGTCTCTTTTCCACAGCTTCCAGTCTCAATTTAGGAGACCCATCCAGACTCCTACGTATTGGGGTGGGGGGGTTGAAGTTGCTGGGGCGTGAAATTGAACATTCACCAACATCCCCGTACATCTTTACAGTATGGAACTTAATTACGTTATCTTTACTTTACCATTTATACGTCATAATTACCACACAACAATACAGCAAACAAAATGGCGTACATATTGTATTTCTGACGACAAAATGGGAAGAGGACCTGAAATCCTAACCGTGTATATTCGTCTGAATGTTGCATGTGGCTTGCAGCTCCGTCAGGCTTGAGGCTCTCGTGGCAGTCAACATGAAATGTCTTCTGGGACGTGACGTCGTGTAGTCTGGTGGAAGCATAAGCCGTGCCCCACGCAGCCTATGTAGTGTGCAAAGCGTGTGCCGATCACACAGTTCACTGTGTGTAGGTCCTGGCAAGAGGTACATACCGAACTAACGGAAGCTACAACAGAGTGTCCCTGTCTCTGTGGCATGTGTTTCAGCAGCAGACATGTCACCACTCCAGTACATGGCGTTACCTCCTGTTCCCTAAGTGTTATGTAACACGAGACAAACAGCAAGAAGGCTATTGAGGATTGTATGCAGAGTGTCCATAAAGCTACTTTCCGTTTCATTGAAATCAAACAAACAAAAGTCGGCTAACATCTTCGCCCTTCGTCCATTGGCTTCAAGCGGCTCTACAATATTATATTTCAGCATCACAATCACATGTTTCTGTTCAGTTTTTTTTTAGTTTTGTTCTAAAAATCATAAAAGTCCGTATTGTTTCAATAGCATTGAAAGGGGCTTAATGGACACTGTGTTTCATGAACAAGGAAATTATTTTATTCGTTACTGAATTAAAAATTACATGAAAATAAATTTGAACATTAAAAATTAAATTGCTGTGTTACTTAATCAGCTCACCTATTCATGAGTGCTAAGTGCCTGAGGACATCGCAAGCAAGGCCATTGGTTATCCAGCCTGTAAGGACGCTCTCTTCTTGAATAATAAAATGAATTGTGTGGTCCCAAGGGACTCCTGTCCATTTCTCGACACATAACCATTTTGTCTTGTCTGAGATGCACTTCACGTTATTGTCTGTTGCCTAGCAACAGATAACACCTTCAGCCTCGCAACAGAGCTCAGCAAATTTTGTTATTCAGATCACTGCAACAGGATAATTTTCCTTTTTTTTGTGTGTGTGTGTGTGTGTGTGTGCGTGCGTGCAAAATTAGATTATTTTCTTGTTGGAATACAAGCAGCTTCATATCTATAGAGACCAGAAGGCTATATTTTTGTTACCAGTATGGCTGACATATTATCATTCCTTAGCCCTATCCGTGTTTAACAAACACCGAATCCCTAGTGACTCATCAAACATTTTTCACAGTATGCATATATTTGCCTGTCCGACTGTTTATATACTGCGCCCTGTCGGCGAACAAATCTGCTCCTTACATTGACCCCTGAAATACAACTGACTCTTCCTCAAAATTGTTGCAGTCATCAGTGCCACGTTGTGCTACATATGCATCACATTAATATGAATTATACAGAGTGATTTGTTTAGAACTGTATCCTTACAGAAAATGTTGAAAACTCTGTTTTTCATTTTCAGTTTGCAATTGTGAACAATGGTCTAAGAGCCTGATGCATGTTTTCAAAACAATGGAGGACACTTCACAGCATGGTTTATGAACATTAATTTATGTTTTATGTTCATCGAGATAAAAATGCGATATTTTCCTTTAAGGTTCAGTTTTAAATGAATCCCCGTATTGATTTACGTGTCATTATTTTATATTATTGTCCTCTGGACTTACCAGAGGTTACAGGAATCTGTTTGTGGTGGTGGCTATGGTATCAAGAAATGGCATTCCTTGGAAGGATTGTCTCCCCTAACTTCGGCATAAACCATCATCACAGTTTTCATTCTGTGTATTACGCAATAACTTGAAAGTAAATATAGCAAAGTGAAGTCCTGTCGAGTGTCTCTGCCATCTTGTTCAGCTGCTCAGAAGACCGCGTTCTCAACTATCCACTGCAGGTAGCGGTTGACGCGTGTGTAGATGCCCGGAGTGTTGGGCTCCCCGCAGCGGATCCCCCATGACACGATACCCACAGCAGCCCAGCGCCCGCTCTCAAGTTGCAGCATCAGCGGACCTCCAGAGTCCCCCTGAGCAAGCGAACAGAGCCTTAAGGTCATTCGTCACAAGCTGATCACGATATCCCTGTCTTTTATAGAACCAACAGTTTATTGCCCTGTTCACAAGAGTCCGCCATTGGTCGCTATCCTGAGCCAGACGAATCCAGTCTAACCCCCCACCCCGTGTGAGGGCGATATCTTCACTTATTCGATACTCTGGTTATATACAGAATACTACTGTCTGTCCAGTCTTAATTGTTTCTCTGTTTCTGATCTTGTTGCTAAGCTGTTATACCGGAACAAGAGCTATAGTGCAAAAGTGATCTATGCCCACCAGTGTTCCATTGCTTGACAACCATCACATATGTACAGCAATTAGTATGTGTCGCCGCTGAGATTAATAATAGACTAAGGCCAACGGTAATATACTTGCATGTAAGATTTTTGTAACTGCCAAGCGGTTAGTCGCTGGCTTCCCACCGCCGAGGCCCGGGTTCGATCCCGGGTCCGGTCATGTGGGATTTGTGGTGGACAAAGTGGCGCTGGGGCAGGTTTTCTCCGAGTACTTCGGTTTCCCCTGCTAATCTTCATTCCACCAATTGCTCCACAATCATCCTCACCTATCATCTGGGGCTGGTACAATACGCCAGAAGTGGCCGCAGAACAAGGGACTTAGCCCCACCCCACTAAGGGGGAAAAAGATTATTGTAACAGACAGTTTCATTACTTCAGGAGACTTTCAGTTCAGTTTGAAGAACTCTAGGAAGGACGGGAATCTTCACTAGTTACGAAGATACGAAGTGCCTCCCCCCCCTTCTCGTAACCTAAAGGTGAGAAATTGCAAAAGAATGACAAAGCACGCAGTGGGATGTCTTTAATAAGTTCGCAATTTTGTATTCCTGTCTCCCATTCACTTTACATCACAGGCACATGGTGTGATGGACAGACATTTGTTTACAAAGAGTCCAAGTGTGTGAGGGGCATGCATTCTTTACAAACCTGGCAGGAATCCTTCCCCCCCTCGTAGGCAGCCGCACAGAGGGCCGTGTCCATGATTGGCTGCGTGTATCGGGAAGTGCAGCGCCCCTGGTTCCACACGGGCACTGCCACCTCCATAAGCACAGGGCTGGTTGGACCCCCGTAGGACACGGTGCCCCATCCTGCAAGCAGTATATGCCAGTACTGATTATTATAATCTAGCAGTTAAGCTCGAAAGTATTGTAGCGTGGAGACACCGTTACTGGGTAACGACCCCGAAACAACATTCGTTGCTAGGCAACAGATTCTTAATAAACAATTATACGTAGCCGTTAACTGGGTAACGCCTTGGCAAACACGTTCCGACAGAAACGATTGGGGTATAACAATGAACGGTGTTTTCTACGCCGTCCATGCCGAAATGTCATAACCGAGACAAGTTTAGAAGTTAGTTGGCAGTCAGTTGTGAGTCTGTGAAGAGAAGAATAGTTACGAAAAGTGTGGTAAAGTGGTCCGTAAATCCCATCTCCGATCCAAACCCCGTCTATAGTCGCTTCTCCGCGTGACAGTATGGTACTGCCCCGAACACTAATGTGGCAGGAAAACACTGGCTCTGGCACTGAGAAAGCTGCCGTTTCAGAAAGCCACTAACGACTGACTACAGTGCTCCAGCAAAGTGTCCGAATGGTCTGGAATTTCTGGAAAGACTCTGCAACAGGAGTTCTTGAGGATATATTCTCTGAAGATGGTGTCGTATGGCTACAAGTCTGCTTCATTCATGAGATTCCAGGTTCTAGTTTCGGACCAGAGACTGGCTCTCCTGGGTTCCTGAGAACTCTCTTAACTCCTTCAGGTTTGGCCGCGCCATAGCTCAAGCGGTTAGTCGCTGGCTTCCCACCGCGGCGGCCCAGGTTCGATCCCGGGGCCTGGTCAAGTGGGATTTGTGGTGGACAAAGTGGCGGTGGGGCGGGTTTTCTCCGAGTACTTCAGTTTCCCCTGCCAATCTTCATTTCAACAGATTCTCCATCATCATAATCACACGGGGCAGGTAAAATAGGCCAATCAGTGGCCGCCGTGCCGAGTGGACCCAGCTGGACTCCACCCCTCACTAAGAGAACTTTCTTAACTCCTTCAGGTATATGCTGCGACAGCACCTCAAGAAAGGCCACGACCACTTCCTCGCACACCCTTTCCAACTCATTGTTCACTAATAATGCTGACAGTCTGCAGTATAAGGTGTGTCTTACTAACGATGGTTTAATAAGCCATAGATAAAAGCAATGAACTGACGTGGCTACTGAAGGAGCAGTGGACTGCCACTTTCATTTCTCATTAGGTCGTTTGTTAAGGTCAGCTCTTGGCCGCGCCATAGCTCAAGCGGTTAGTCGCTGGCTTCCCACCGCGGCGGCCCGGGTTCGGTCAAGTGGGATTTGTGGTGGACAAAGTGGCGCTGGGGCAGGTTTTCTCCGAGTACTTCGGTTTCCCCTGCCAATCTTCATTCCACCAATTGCTCCACAATCACCCTAACCTATCATCTGGGGCTGGTACAATAGGCCAGAAGTGGCCGCAGTACAAGGGACTTAGTCCCGCCCCACTAGCAAAAAAAAAAAAAAAAAGGTCAGCTCTTAACCACGGACTCCAGCAGAGATGGGATAAGCCTAGCTTCCTTCCTTCCTCCCTTCCCCCCTTCCTTCCCCCCTCCCACCCCTCGACGCTACAGCTCAGAGTATGCCTTGGCCTCCTGAACAATCTGCCTCCATTATAAGCCAAGCATACAAAATATTAATGCCAAAAATTAAAATCATTTTAATCATCCTGAATATTCTAATGTGATCAGTAATAACTGTCATGAACAGCCCAAACGTGTGTAAGAACATTTTGTGGTTGCCTCCGCGCCCTTCCCAACCCCAGCTTAAGAAGTTCTGGCCATTCTCATGTTAAGAAGTCATGCAATATAATCTTGAAAATGGAAGTTTTTCTCTAAGTACCGGTTGCAGCTTGTTGAAGATCTAACGATATTTGCGCAGAAAATCCGCCAGAAAGAAGACAATTGGCACAGTTTTGCTGCCCCAAGATACGGCCTACTTAACTAGTCTTCAGCGTGAGTGTCGTTTATGTATATTACAGCCACTATGTTTTCTTTCCGGGTGGGGGAGGTTTCCAAAAAAAGCAGCCATACAATTTCGTTTAAGACTACTTTTTACTTATCGATTTAGAGCACTCAGTGTGTAAGAGTTCTGAAGCCATTTTATTGGCGTCTTCACTAACCACACCGCCGTCCAATGATGCCACTTCCTTCTAAACCAGCCAACACAGCGGTGGAAGTTACGAACACAGAAAACACACGCAGGCTGGGCACATTTCACGTATGTAGTCTGTTAGCAGGCTGATGGCGCGTACTGGATCGAGTTTATATTGGTGATTATACTGAACTGTAGGTTTGAGGAAACACCGTGCTGATGGCGCGTACTGGATCGAGTTTATATTGGTGATTATACTGAACTGTAGGTTTGAGGAAACACCCACGGCTGGTGATGGTAGTAGTAGTAGTAGTTTAACTGCCAGTAATATTTAATGGTAGTGAATAATGAACTGAAAAGGATGTGCGATGAAGTGCTCGTTGCATAATTTAAGGAACTATCCCAGCATTTGTCTAGGACTGAGGAAGTCATGATAAAACTTCAGTCAAGACAGTCGGTGAGCGGTCGAGGTTCGAATCGGACACATCCATAAGAGAGTTCAAAAGGGGCTGCCACTTGGGCCAACCTGCTCGGTGTGAGGCATGCACGCAGGTCTGCATTTCAGCTATGGTCGGACTCAAGGGCTGGTAGTTCAGACAGGACAGGGTCAAGTAGCCCCGTGGCACGAACAGCAACAGAACTTTGCTCTCATGAATACAGCCACCCTGACGTTGACATCAAGAGGTTGCTCGCGTAGATGTGAACCAGAAACTGTTTGTCACGAGCTTTTGTGAACATGGCGGCGAATGTTCATCTTTTGTAAAATCAGGAACTTTTGTTACCGGGAAAATAATATTGACTACTCTAGAATTTCCTGTACATTGCGGTCAGAATATGCCGTTAAACATCTTGGCAGTCACGTGACATGAACTATGTAATCAAGTTAATTGCACTCTGAAGTCCCAGGACTCTGGCACAACTCTAACGTCACTACATAAATTGCGCAATACTATTCAACGAACTTTCATTTCCAGAAGGCTCTGGAGTCGAACCCAGGGACCTAAATTGCGGTTCCAAGACATTCACACATTCTGATGAGGCTGAATGAAAAACATGGAAAACACTTTTACATCTGGAAGCACTCAGATTCGAACTCAGACCATTTTTGTGGTTTCCAGTGCATCTACAATTTTCATCGAGTAGCATTCAATAGGTTTTGGGTATTTAGGGGCTGGAAATTACTAATAAACATTCAAACTTACACACATTCATATAAACTCCGTTTGAGATTATAGATGCTCTCTTTAATTTATTTGGGCTGAAGCGACGTGGTGGGCGCGTGCGTAACCTCATATTAACCTTGAAGTAGCGTAGGGGTGTGGGGTGATCGTAGGCACGTGTCTGTCTCGTCATTTCTTTCATCTCGTATCACCTCTGCCACGTCACTTGTTGCAGTGGCGGATTATTTGTAACACCCCCCTCCCCCCAGCAGCTTGATTCCGTAACATGTACCACTAATAATAAAACAAAGAGCGCACTAATAACACCTTGACACTGTTAGTGCATCTCTGCACATTGCTGTGTTTAAGCTTCTGGACATGAAGGCGTATGGAGGAAGTGGAGACAAATCTTCACGCATCCTACTACATCCCGGCACAAGCTTTGAGCTGCGTGGTGAGGTTCACGCTGTGAAATATGTGTTTATTTATTTATTTCGTAACGCTCTGTCTTCGTCCTTGTCTAGTTATTTCTCAACTACACATACTATATACGTATCATGAATGGTGTATTTGAGACGATATGGGGTCGCATTGGCTTATCACATGGAAGTATACCGGCATTCGAATNGGAGATCTTTAATCGTGGCAACTTTTGTTTCGCGATTTACCTCAGTTTCTTCAGGCCAATAATAATAATAATAATAATAATAATAATAATAATGTCTTAAAACGATACTTCCTCATCTACCGGAGGAATTGGGCGGGAAACTTGCCTAATTTTGCTCAGAGGTCTGCTAGAGACATGAGGATCTTTTACGTGCCGTAAATCTACGACACGGGACACACGGCTTAAAGTCCCTCCCTGAATTTTCCGCTCATAAAAATTCCACGACCTCCGCCGGGTTTGAACCCGCGTACCTCGAGTCATGAGGTGGGAACGTTACCCCTAGACTACGGAGGTCGCTAAAACGTCTGCTTAACTGTGCGTACGGAACATGAGAGCTATGACAGCCACTGGACACGATCTGCTCCCGCTTGAAGATGCAACTTCATATCATATTCCCACGCTGTTCAATGTCTTGCAGTTAGCCACCTTCCAAGTGATTTCCCCACAAGATCCCGCTACTTCTGATTTCTTATATTCCAGCTACATGCCCATTCCATCGTATATCTACTTGACTAACCTAACATTAAGCGGCCTCCGTAGTCTAGAGGTAACGTTCCCACCTCATGACTCGTGGTACGCGGGTTCAAACCCGGCGGAGGTCGTGGAAAATGGCAGAAAAATTCAGGGAACAAGTCCTCCGGGAGGGACTTTAAGCCGTGGGTCCCGTGTCATAGCCTTACGGCACGTAAAAGAACCTCATATCTCCAAAGGAGATCACTGAGCCAAATTCAAGGACGTTTCCCGCCCAACAGCAGTCTCTAAGGCCTCTGATAGATGGGGGAAGCATTATAGATACCGCCAAGCCAGTTGAGAACTCGCTGGCTCGGTCGGGACTGATGGTACGCACCAATATCGGTAGGGTATAGAGACTGGTAGAATATCATAGAGGGAAGCACAATGGACCAATACTGGTCTCAGTGCATGGGGCAACCCACCCTCTCCAATAACTAACTAACTAACTCACTAACCTAACATTACTTGGCGACCCGGAGTATCCTCCTTCTTCCCCTTACTTTGCCTCTTCTTCCGTCCATGTATTTTCCTGAACACTTTGTTTGTACTTATTTGAAAATTAATTTTCTTCTCTCAAAGTAGAAACAACGTTAGAAAGCCAT